TTACAACTTGCATGTGCCTGGTTCATTATCCACACCGTGGACTCTCCCAGTTGGTGCCCCTTTGCATTCTGAAAAGGTTGCTGAAGCTTCTTGGCTAAGTGCTTGGGAAGAAGTATGTGACGATTTTGGAAATGCATTGAGTACAGGCAACGTGGACTCTGCTTGGACCTTACTTAGCAACTGCGCAGAATCTCTTCTTCTCGCACGTGGCAAAACTGGTCGTGCTATGCGCCAGGGCCCGCAGCAAATTGCCAGTCCTCCGTCTTCAAAAGCGCCTTCTTTGCAAACAGTGAAAGAGCGCAAGCTCAGACGCTTCGCACGAAGAGTGGTGGAGTACCAAAAGGCCCCGTTGCCAGAGTTGGAGAAGAAGTTGGTTCGTGATGGCCCTCATTTACATCATTCTTTGGCTTTTTTCTCTTTGGATGACCCCAGGTTGGTTAGTGCAGTGCTAGAATTGGCAAATGCAGAAGCTACAGCAGCGTCCAAGTTACGCTTGGAGGCGTGGAAGGACAGCGTGCAGGAAAATGCCACCAAACTAGGCAGGGGGGTCAAACAGGTGCCGCCCGCCAGTCCTACTGCAAGTTTTGATGGCCCCATTCTACCTGCAGATAGGGCCAAGTGCGCAGCATTGGATTGGGAGGGGTATTGGAATCCAGGGTCGCTTCCGAATTTGAATCTGGGGGACCAGTTGTACTCTCAGATTGGCTCTGCAAGCGATCCATTGCCGGATGACTGTATTCAGGGTAGTGGTTCTGAATTGGTTCGGATTGCGCTCAAAGCGAAGGACAAGGCTCCGGGCATGGATGCCTGGACAGCTCTCCATTTGTGCAATCTTCCCATTGCTTTTTGGGATCAGGTCGGTGCTCTTTGGGATGCTTGCTTGCGACATGGCTGTGTTCCTGCGATGTGGAAAGATGTTAGAATTGCTTTGTTACCAAAAGCTACTGGTGGCATGCGCCCTTTAGCCATTGTCACTGTCCTGTGGCGTATTTGCATGAGTGCCACTCTGAAAAAATTACAGCCTTGGATTGCGGAATGGGCTTCGCCCGAACTTTTTGGTGGTCTACCAGGCAAGGGCATCATGGAAGTCCATGAACGTTTCTACGAAGCTGTCAGCGCGGCAAAGCAGTCTCGTGTCGATTTGGTCGGGTGCAAAGTTGATGTTCGCAAGTGTTTTGATTCAGTTTGCCCTCAGACAGCCATTAAAGTGTGGCGATGGTTCGGTGCTCCCTCATCAATTTGTGATTTACTCGCTGATTTTTACAGTGAACAGCGTCGTTGGTTTGCTTGGCAAGGTTCTTATCACCCTCATCCGGTTATTGCTCAACGGGGTTTGTTGCAAGGCTGTCCAGCCAGCCCTGCGCTACTGAACGCTTTGATGACAGTTTGGGTGAGGTTTGTCAAACGGCAGGAACCAAGGATTTCTTTGGCTATTTATTTGGACGATCGCACCATGTGGAAACAAGGTTGTCAAAGTTTTGAAGTGGTCATCAACGCCATGACTGCGGGAGCGCAAGCCGATGCTATTCTCGGCTTCGAACTTCACCCTGACAAATTGGCTAGCTTCGCCACCAAACCGCATCTGGTTGCCAAGGTGCGCAAGAAGAAAGATTTAGGTGTACCTGCGGATACTTTCACACTGCTTGGCATTCAATACAATTTGTCACGCCCCAGTTCTTGTGTTGATGCGGATATTGTCAGTGACAACATTCAGCGACGGTGTCTCAAAATTCGTTTGGCAGCACAGCACTTAGGCACTCGCATTGCATTGGTGCATAAGTTGGTGATATCTTTATTTGCTTGGTCCGGTGCTTTTCATCACTTCAGTGCAAGAACCATTCGAACATGGACATCTATGATCGAAACTGCACTTTGGGGTCGAAGGGTTCCTCCAGGTAGGAGCCGGCTGCTCTTTTGGAATTCTTTGGGTTCTGCAAGACTACATCCGATGTTTGCGCTCCAGTTCACCGCCGCCCGGGCGGAATGGAATCGGCAATGCCGCCGTGCCCAAGGGTTGCCTGCAGCTCCCTCGCCTGCTCCTCGCTGGAAAGCAGTACTCAAAGATTGGAAATGGCGACTTGACGATGGCCTGTGGCACACGCCTGCTGGGATTTTGAAACCTGGGGGGATGTCTTTGAAAAGCTTGCAAAAGGCCGCTATCCATTCATGGCTCGTTGGTTTGTGGACTAAAGACACCAAAACGGATGGTCGATGGCCAAACGGCAAGGAGCCGGTTTTCCTTTTTCAGGCAAATGCAGCTTTAGGCATGGATTACTACAGTCGCAGGGTTTTGACTGGTGCTGCAGTGGATGGCAGGGTCACAGAGCTTGGTTCTGCTTTGAGTTGTGAATGTGGATTGCGGTCTCCTGATCGAGAACATCTCACTTTTCACTGCCAAGCGCAGCCATGGGATGGTGAGTTCAGGAGCGCTACTGAACGTCGTTTGCTGGTTCCACTTGTGGATGCTCCTCCTGTGTTGCCTTTTTCCAACATGGTTGCAGATCCTGCTTTGGTTACTTTTATTCAGCAATTCGATCCTCTTCAGCGACCCACCTTGGGCTTGGACGGCAGTTGTATCATAGCTACTTCCTGTGATCGATGGCAAGGAGCTAGCTGGGCGGTTTCGACACTTTCAGGCACCACTGTTCAAGGTGCCGTGACTGGTTTTGAGCAAACACCTGCTGCAGGTGAGCGTGCTGCTCTTCTGCAAGCTTGTTTAGCCTCTTCTGCAGCTAACAGACCGGTGATGCTCTTGATTGACAATCAGGCTTTGGTGCGGCGGCTTCAGCGAGGCATTAGCACTGGCCGTTGGGAGGGTGACTTGCCGCTTTTCTGGCAGCGGATCAGCGGCTTATTGATTCAGGGCACTGTTTGCACTTGGATCCCTTCTCACAACAAGGTGCCTGACTGGACACCACCAGATGGTTGGATTGATGTTCATCTCTGCCGCGTTCTCAATGCGACAGCCGATGCTCAGGCAGGTGAGGTGTTGCGTGACTCACGCTCCATGATCGCTGCGGCTGTGCAGCGACATCAGCGAGCCGTGGCTTGGGCTGCAGCAGTTTGGCGTCTGCAGAGGCTACGGACTTTACCTTTTTGGCAAGTCGTACTTGATCAACAAACATTCCTTGCGGAATGCTAGCTGGCGCACTGTGTTTACTTCTTTTTTTCAGGCAGGTTTCGCTTCCTTTGAGTTTTGCTTGGAGAAGTATGGGAACTTGATTCTCGCAGATGGCATACTATGGCGTCTTAACTACTTCACTTCGGTGAGGAGCAGGTTGACGTCCGCTTACAACAACAACAACCACTCCCTTCACCAGGATCTGGTGCTGTTTCGAAGAAAGCATTGCAGTGGCCCAGCCAATGTTCAGCAGAAATTCTTCAAGCCATTCCCCCACCGAGAAGGTTATAAACAAATCCGCCCACACCGCTTTGGCGGTGAAGGCGTGCTTATTGGGGGGAAATAGCTACACTAACTGCTCAATCACATTTGTTAATATAGCAGTCGCTATATCAGCTTTAGCTGGGGGGGGCCAAAAACGGTTTCGCACCGAGACCAGAATTCGGTGGTGTTTTCGACATTTTTCGAAGATTTTTGGGTGTCTGAGCGCAAGAGGGTATTGAAATGGAATTTTGGATCATTTTGGTAGCTTTCCGGCAATGGAAAAACGGCCAAAAATGAAAAAAACATTGTACATAGCAAGATTTTGCAGGGTTTTTGGATGCCAGAGCATTGAAAACACTGCAAAAACAAGTGTTTTGGACTGACGTTATAACAAAAAACGTGTAAATTACCGTATGCTTGACTGGAAACATTACAAAAACACTGTCAAAAGCAATGTTTTGGAAGGATTTACTGTCTTTATGGCAAAAAACGTGTAAATTACCGTCTGTTTGACTGGAAACATTGGAAAAACACTGTCAAAAACAATGTTTTGGAAGGATTTCTTATATATATATATGGAGTTGGCTACCGGCATTGGCACATGGAAAAATTGAAGAAAACACTCTAAATAGCGGTATTTTCAACGGTTGGGGAGATAAGGGAATTGGAAGCATTGTCGAACATGATGTTTTCGACCGGTTTTATGGCGACAAAAGTGTAAAGTACCGTGCTTTGAAGGAAACCATTGCAAAAACATGGAAACACATTCAAAGAACACGGGATTTGGGGGACTATCTAGGCGTGGGAAGCTGTCACGGCGGGGAAAAGTGAAAATTCCCTAGCTTGGGAAGCCCCCACGGGGGGGAAAAGTGAAAATTCCCTAGCTTGGGGATCCCCCACGGGGGGGGGAAAGTGAAAATTCTTAGCTTGGGAAGCCCCCACGGGGGAAAAGTGAAAATTCCCTCGCTTGGGAAGCCCCCACGGGGGGGAAAAGCGAAAATTCCCTAGCTTGGGAAGCCTCCACGGGGGGGAAAAGTGAAAATTCTCGCCTGGGAAGCTTCTACCATTACAAAAACACTGTCAAAAGCAATGTTTTGGAAGGATTTACTGCCTTTATGGCAAAAAACGTGTAAATTACCGTCTGTTTGAGTGGAAACATTGGAAAAACACTGTCAAAAACAATGTTTTGGAAGGATTTCTTATATATATGTTGGAGTTGGCTACCGGCATTGGAACATGGAAAAATTGAAGAAAACACTGTAAATAGCGGTATTTTCAACGGTTGGGGAGATAAGGGAATTTTCACGGACCGAAATAAACCTGCGGTGTGGGCGGCCACCCCACGCGAAGCGAGGTGAATATAATACATAACATACAAATATGATAAATACTGGTAGGCTTAAAACATGAAAGAACGAACTTTGTTTTTTGATGAATATACAAATATGATAAATACTAGTAGGCTTAGAATATGAAAGAACAAACCTTGTTTTAAGAACACACCTTGTTTTTTGAAGGAAGTGCATAGGTGGTGGTTCTGAAATATGGCAGATATCACTCAAATCAAAGGCTGTGCCTATCAGCCGGTGATGTTTTTCGAGCCGGCCAAGTCCAGGTTGAAGAGCGGAACACCGGGACGCCACTGCTGTTGGACGTGGCCGCCACTGACTCCTCCAATGAGGCCATGGCCATGAGATGGTTGTTTTCCATGGGAAATCAGTTGCGAGAAACCTGGAAAACTTGGCATGCCCAGGCTCACGTGATCACTGATGGTCTGGCGGCCCCAGAGGCGCGTTTGATGCCGCTGTTGGGCTTTTTGATGAAGGCCTTGCGCGAAGCGACCTTTCCCACGTTGCTCGCGCAGAAGGCGGACTTCAAGCTGTGTCGAACCCAAGAGGGATCTTTTCCTTTTTTTTGACGGATCTTTCTTTTCTGTCTCGTAAACAGTTGGCAAATGGGTAGCACGGATTTTGACCCTCGGAATCGCTCATCAGTGAAGAAACCAGACGGGTCATGCTGTACCCCAGCGCAGCAGAGTGCCGATGTGTGCCGTGGCCAGGGTCTCAGCGTCGACATCTCAAAGGCTGATGCCAGCAAAAAAGAGGACAAGATCCGCATCCTGAATTGCATCAGACTGCCGCAAGCAAGGACGAAGGCCAGGTCCGGTGCATGGCTTGCATGCCCACAAATGAGAACGTACAGCATTGATTCTCCATGTGAAATTCATAGTCGCGCATGCCGAAACATATCTCAAGTGTGCAGCTTTTTCTCTGATTTTTTTCCGTTATTGTTTGGAGGTCTCAGTGCATATGCAGAGTTTAAGCGGAAAGTAAGATGGTCAGATTTGAAATGCGAGGTAAAACGTTGAGTTGTCAGGGTAACTGATCGAATGTGCACATGATTCATGGTTGATATCAATGGCACATGGGTTGACCTGGATGTAGATGGACGTAGACCTGACACCCTCCGTGGACCTGAGGATTTGGCTGTCGTCGCGCCCCTGCAAGATCCAAATTATTCAGCTGTGACGCTGGGCCTCGATCAACGAGTGGCGCAGCGTATTTCTTTGGGATGTGTTTCTTTGATCTTTTGGGAAGTTGTTTCTGTTGAGTTCTTTGATCTCTTGGGAAGTGAGTTTCGTCATGTTGCTCCCAAGATGGGCTGAGGAACAAGGCCCTGGCAGCGCATTTTGCCATCGCTTCCTGGTTTGGTGCCGTTACGCAGGGGCACGACACCAGCAACCTCCGGAGAGCCCTAGCGGCCGACAGCTCACGGCATATGGTGGAGTTGTCCTTCACAGGCTGCCGTGGCTTTGGGGATAACTCGCTGCAGCAGCTGCTGAATCACTTGCCGAGGCTTTTCGGGTTGGGGTTCCGGCATGTTGCACGAAGAAAGTTGAAAGATCTTGAAAGTGTGAGTATGATCATGGAAGACAGCATTCTTCGAAAGATTCTGCCATTGTTTTCATGGCAAATTTACCAGTCATTCATTTTTTAAAGGGCCATTTTTTATACACCGGGGCCCCTATATTTTTTTGGTGGGAAACCATGTTTTCCGTGACGATTTTCCCTTCTATCAGTGAACCAGCTTTTCAAAGGGCAAAACGACAGGCAGCTGCGTCTGCTTCGCTTGGATTTGGCCTTTAGCGGGGTCCAATCATGGAACGTCCAGGAGGCCGCCGCGGGTGGCACCTGAAGGATTTTCACCAAGTCGGGGATGAGAGAAGTCGGGGATTTGAACGGGTTTGACCAGCAAAAATAGGGCTATACTATGGATTTCATGGATTGAAGATATAATAATACGTATAATATGCGCAAATATGGATTTAACTTTTAACCAATAGATACCAATGGATGTACAGTAATGGAATGGTAATGAGTGCATTTCTCATTCCGTCCAATTTGCAGGAGATGCCTCCACTGGAGCAGCTCATCCTGCGCTTCACGGGCTCCAGGTTGGCAGATGCGTCCGGCTTGGCACAGATGCTCGACACAGAGCAGTGCCTCGCACGGTCGCTGAAATCGTTGCAGCTGTGGTTTTCCAACCTTCCGTTGGCAGCTGAGTTTTTTGTGGATGCGGATGCGATTTTGGATATCAGTATTGCAATTTTTATTACTTGTACATATCTGTATTATGTTTACATAGAGTTCTTGAAGAGATTTCTCAGGTCCTTGGTGGAGCTGGGCTCATGGGAGCCGCTCACAAAGCTACAGCTGGAAGAGTTGGTTTTACAGCTGAAGCGCTGTGGCCAAGTTCCTCCTGAAGCAAAGCAGTCGTTGATTCTCCGCTGCATTCAATGCCAGATTGTCACATTGACAGTACACATCCCCCACCGTGAATTCCGCTTGTTCAACTTGGATTGGAGTAGCTGAGTAGTCAGGGCCAAGTTGCCATTTCGTACGATGTGACACGGCTCCAGCAAGGTATGAGTGTGTCAAACAACTGAAGAGAGCCAGGAGGGGACTGGATCTTCGGTTGACGATTGAGGCTGGGGAGCTCCTAATGCTGATTTGGTGTGAGTTAATGCACGAAACCTAGGTAGTCGAGACAATTTAAACATGTTGAAACATGAGTTCATTATAGTTCATCAATGTCACTCAGATTTTGAATATATCAGATCAATCCATGAATTTGTCATGTTCTTGTTCACAGTTCATGCCAGGGAGTTGCTGAACCTTCCTGGTCATGGTCTTGGTCTGGATGTCAGCCGCAAGCCATCCAGGATCACTGACCTGTTGCGGTTTACAAGAATCTATACAAAAAGCAACACTCCATGAATTTCGTTTGGATGTTGTTTTCATTCTCATGCTGTTTTCATGTGAGAAACTAGAGTGACCGGTAGCTCCAAGACCTGTTTCACACAGCATGTCAGCTTTCAGGAGGTGGAGCTGGCTGGTAGCAAGGCTGTGGACTACGTAGATTTTGACGACGCCATGGACGACTGTGGAGGGCGAGCTCCCTTTCCATGCAGCCACAGCAGATGCCATGAATTCCACGAAAACGTTCATGGCTTTTGCCCTAAACATCGGCTACTGCGACACTGGTGGAAACTGGCATCCTGGTGGCGGACAGCCCCTCGGCCAGTTGTGTTTAGTTGTGATGTTTTGCAGAATGTATATCAACAAAATCTATAGTCATCCCCAAAAAGATAGAACAGGTCCAATTTATCACTTTAATCGGATTTTCCTTTTCCATCTATTTGGGGGTTGATTTTTCGCCTTTGCGGTGTAGCGGAAGCTTAGCCCTGGTTGCCTGCCAGGCTTGGCGATGGGCCGAACTCAGCTTACTTTTTGCAATGCAGGCTGCTGCTGAGATTCAGCAGCGGACGACCCTTGCTGTGATCCTGCTGTCGCTGTGCCTAAGTTGCAGCAACACTTGTGAGGGCTGGCCATCTTGAAACTTGAAACATCTTTGAACCGGGTTTGTCCGAAAAGGGGGCATACCATCAATTATGACTATTTGAATGGGGAAACTGATGATGAACCAATGGATTTAGGATGATTTAGGGGTATCCCGTTTTCTCCTGGTCATCTTTGATGCTGAGTTCACGGCAGGTACCCCGTTGCCTGCTTGTCGCTGGAAGAGTCTTTGGGAGTTCCATGGGCTGTGATCTGCACTTTGCTCTCCGTGATAGTGCTGAGTGACTCAGATCTTGCAGTCGCACTGCTTGTACTCGAATTTTCCAATCCAGACAGGACAGAATCAGAATCAGAATCACGACGCATCGAAAACACCATAGGAAATCATAGGCTGCAATTGAGCTAGCCACGATGTTTATGCGGATGTTTATCCATATGACTTGGAGATGATTCAACGGCGCAGCATGGTGCCGTTGAGCAGCGGGGCCCGGGTCCCAACGTCCCAGGTAGCATCGTGACGACGAGCATTCGCTTTGACACCGTGAGAATGCAAATTCTGCAGGAAGCGGTGGCAACAGAAGCGAGTTACTCCCAGGTGCCCTGTTCGAATCCTTCCAGTGTTTGTTCTTTTACAAGATGTATGATGTATGTCTCTTTGAGGTTTCTGACACGTTTATCCCGGTCCCCAATAAGAATCAGAGTGGGACAATCGAAAGCCAAACCGAGAAAACCGAGAGAGAGAGACAAGAACGCCATGAGTAAATATAAACCATGCTTGGCTGAAAAAAGGAATGTAAGCAAAGGCCAACCTGAGCGAGGGCCTTATGTTGTCGACATAATATGTGGGTTTGTCTGAAATAGTGTACCCCTAAATCTACTGGAATATCATTATTTTCTCTATTCAATTAACCATTTGGGGATCCCATTTTCAGACACTCATGTGAACCAAGAACCGATCTTGTCAAGACATGATGACATGGCAGGTGCTTCAGCTGCCAGAGACTCAGAGCGTCATGCTCCGTGTTCCTACAATGGGCTGCGGCTATGCAGATCCTCGAGAACTACGTCAACAAAGCGAAGATTTGCGTCTTGGAAGCAACATGAGACGTGCGCCTACTAACTTCCTCATGCTTCGCTCTGTACATGTGAGTGTGCTGACATGCATCCATTCCTTTTCTTTTCATCCCATTCCTGCATGTTTTTGACTGAATTAAAGTCAAAATGCGTGCCTGCAGGGCTGGAATATTTTTGGGTGCGCAACAACATCTCCCTCTATTGCGGTGCCTTGTCTCGTGTATTCCTGGGGCGTGTTTTTTTGGTTGAGAGCTTCTCCACATCGCAAACTTCCACGTCCTCATGGCTTTGCCTCAGGAGAGCCATGAATGTGGCGCTGCCGGATGCTACATTGAAGCTGAAACTGCTGACCAATTTGAGTGACGAAGAGAAGCGAAGCCGCTCGACCATGTTAGCAGCTTCCCGTGCTGGTGCCAGTATCTAGATATTTCTTCTCTTCGTGCCCCATGGACAGGCTATCCAAATTATAACGTCGTGTGCTTGAGTTGTTTATACAGACCCAAGTGATTTTTTTCTTTTGGAAGGTTTCACCTGTTTTCAACTTCTTTTGGCAACAATCCTTTCAAACATGTGGCGCCCTTCAAGAAGGTTTCACAGGTGCGCGTGTACAAGTTGAGAGATGCAGAATGCATATCATGCAATATCATGCATATTGTTACAAGCAGATATTTTCTTGGGGGCTGTCCCAGTGAAGTTTGTTTTGATGATCCAATATGATCCAACTAGATGAATTTATGATCCATATGTGCTTTCTCGGATTAGTTCATAACAGTTCAACCCCCAAGAATCTCAGGACATGATCATGGTTTCGTGATGTTTCCTGCACATCAATTTCGTCCATCGAGCAGCAAGGCCCGCAACAAGTTCTGGACGCGCTTCGATTTGAATTGATGTGCGAAAACATGCAATCCGTTCAGGAAGCATTCAAGGGCCTCAAGGTGCACAGGGATTCAGTGTCCGTTTTGCTTCAGTGCCATGAATAAACAGACTCAATCAGAAGGTGTGCAATCTGGTTTCTAACATCTGTATCCTTTAACCTGGTTTCCAATGTAGCCTACATGTAAACCATGCATCTCATGTAGCCTGCCGAAAGTGCGGAACCTGGCAATCAGACTGGATAGGACCGCCTTGCGAGCGAAGAAATGGTCGCTTTGGGCGTGCGGATCGCTGGTGTCCGGGACACCTTTGCCGAGATGAGCGGGGCCAGCGGCCAAAAATGCTGCCAGGCTCCACCTTGAGTGAAAGTGACCCACAAGGTGTCTGACTTAGATGGAGTTCCCCTGCCCAAAATTGCGACGTGATCATTATTATCATGAACATGGTCTTTCCATACCCCCACAGTGAATCGAATCATAAAACGCGGTTGGTGTTTTGAGAATCATCTAATTTTTGAACTTGGCAATGGAATCTGCATCTGCGAAGCTTCCGCTGGCCAGGTAGTTCTGCAGGTGGAAGATTATTATTCCTCCGTCTTTCTCATGGATGTCACTCTGACCAGGCCACACAATAGATGACAGGAAAAAAACAGTTTCTCGAATTTGGGGACCGGGAGGAAAAATGATGATGCCCCCCATGGGTTTTGGAGGGTCCTCGCTTAAAAAAATAGCCAAGGTCACGTTCTTTCATAATGATTTATGGAGCTGAGCGACTTCCCTCTTCAAAAAATACTTTCTGCGAAAGCTCTGTCGTGTCCTGCTCGAAAACAGCCACTACTTCTGAGAAGTCTCGAGTGTTTTGGTTGTTGATGTTGTTGAGTTTGAAGTTTCCATTCCATGTCTGGAGCAGGCTCGAGAATCAGCTGAGCGATTTGACCAAGTTGGCGGACAATTTTGGGCTGTTGGATGACGTGAAATCAAAATGGGAGACTTCACTGAGGCGAGAGATCAGAAACCAAAGGAACCCAAGGAACCAAAGGAACCCAAGGAACCAAAGGAACCGAATGAAACGGCTTTTGACCATGATATGTGTGTCCGAAGTCGACAGGTTGGATCGTTTCATCCAGTGCCATGCCGCCGTGCCAGGCTTTGCAATGATGCATCCAGTGTCGGGCCTTTGACCATGGCAGGGACTATTTTCTTGCAGATTGTGGCGTTGGTCGTGTCCTTCTTCATGGCCGTCCAATATTTCCTCCGTTACGCTCCCAGGAGACTGTTCGGTCTTTTCCCACCCTGGTGCCTTGTGGCCATGAAACTGGATGAAAATCGCCATGCCGCTATGCGTAGGAGACTGGACTACTACTAGAGGTTGAGGAAACAAACCAACTAAACATAAACCAACCTCCCAGCAACATGTTTTCTAGTTATCAACAGGTTTTGCTGTATGGTTACCAGATGTGGAAAACCCATGAACATGCCACTATGAGTTTTTCCACATCTTTTTGATTCTTTTTGTATGTTTACCTTCCAGGGTACCGAAATTCCATCGTAGGCCGCAGCCTGACAAGATCCGTTGCAGGATCCGTTCTCGTCTGTCCGACTTCCTTCTGGATGCCTTGCTGCTGGACACTGAGGAGTCCAATGAGACGTTCTTGGAGGTGTGGGAGTTCTTTCACATTCTTGATGTTTTCAAATATACTTGTTGTGCCACAGAACTCATTTTTGTCATTTGATGGCAAACCATTTCAAGTTCATCCAAGTTCCAGTGGTGTTTCTCTTGAAACTACAGAATGAAGAAGCCCGGATGGAGGCCGCATTTCTGGCCCTGCCCTACTTGGTCCTGGTCGTGGTGTTTCTGTTACAGCTGTTGTGCCGAAAGACGAGTCGGAAGAGGTCGCGACCCACGGAGGTGCTTTATGTTTCTAGGCAGATGCAGTTGTTGTGTGATCTGCGAAGGAGATTTAAAAAATAGGAGGTGCAGCCCTGCATTCGCCAGTTTAAGCCGGAAAATTGTGATATGGATGATATGGGGTCAATTTTCGGAATGTTTACTTCCAGTCACCATTCTAAATTGAAACCGGGAAATTGTGATACAACAATGGATGAAAGGATTGAAAGGGGGTCCCAATTTTTGAAAATTACAAACACTTTCCGCAGGATCCAAGAATTCACTTGATTCAAGGTCCCCTTTCCATGCTGTATCTTGGTGTTCTTCCTGAGGAAAAGTATTTTGGGTTGCGCGGAGCTTACTACCCCTTCAAGGTGGCGATCTTCCAATGCTTCACCGTTGCGGTGCAGGCCTTGGGAAAGATCTCCTTGTTGGGTGGCCTCGTTACCTTCGCCCAAGAAGAGCAAGATGCGAATGCCATTCTTTGGCTTAGTGTCGGCTTCTGGGCTTTCTTTGCCCTACTCTGTTGGAACAGTCTCTATCCCGCCTTTCTTCTGATGTTCCCTGACACTGCCTGGGCTCGAATTGGAGCAGCATTTATGGATGCTGCTTTGGACCTTGGCTACATCTTGACCTACCTGGGTATGGCGTCTAGGTTTCAATTCATTTGGTTTGACAAGTCTCACGGGTTTCAACGTCGTTTCATTGATGGCTTGGCAGATGGCGTTCAGTCGGGAAACGCAAAAGTGTAATTGCTGCAAGGTTTTGGTGGCCATGCTGCGATTGCAGACAGCCTCCGAAGGCCGGGGAAATTTTGGCGAGGACTTGACGTTGCAATTCAGAAACTAAGCTCGATGAAGTCAATGCGTCAACCGGCATCAAGTGAAGTGTAAGCGTCTCAAGCGCCTTGTTTCGCATGGCATAGCGGCGCCATCCGAGTGGGATCTTCACCGCAACTTTTTTGATATCTGAGGCAATCGTATTAGCCCCGTGTTCGCCTTTCCCACTGACTTTCTGGGCTATGGCGCTGTGTATTTTAACGTAGCGCACGCATGCTGCATTGCACACATTTTGCAGCACACCAATTGGAGCTTGCCAGTGCGACCCAGGCCTTGAACCTAAGACTAAACAGCTTGCCATGCCAGATTTTGCCATGCAAAGATGACATTTTCGTTGTGAACTGACAACAGCAAACAGCATGTCAGGGGCGAGCGCCAAAAACGGAGATGCCTTCCAACACTATTTGGGTGTTCCCTTTCCATTGTGCTCCTTTCGATGCTGGTGATTCTCCTGGTGACGCAGGACTGCTGCATAAGATTTGCATTAGTGACCTCGAGCCGTGATTTTGATTTGACGACACTTGTTCAAGCGCCTTTGCAGGACGTTTTTCCAATGAACCATGGACAGGATTTCACGTTGAGCTCTCAGGGATCTGCTTATTTTTTGTCATTGGAGGTCTTCATGAAAAGATCTAACAAGAGATTGTAGAATGGGATTACAAGTGTCTCCTAGGTGTTTTCCGTGCCGTTGCTCTGACAATGCTGACTCAGCTGGCCAACAGATTGACAGCTGCACCCTTGCAGCCGTCCTCAGACAGAAGCAGGCCGGGCGGATCACCGGCGGTTTGTTTTTCTGGGTGTGTGTGAAAATGGGGTAGGCCGAGACCCCACGATAGACCCCCCTAAAATGGCCATTCAACCACCAAATATTGAGGCACCATCTTTTCGGACAAACCCATCTGTTTTTGGATGCTTACGGATATGCGCTGACTTTAGGTGCACCTTGCTGCGAAGAACATCACGGCCGTGGACCCAAAGGCTTTCAGCTCACTTGGACATGTGCAGCGCCTGTCATTGGCGAACAACAGCTTGATCCATCTGCCTCCGGGCCTCTTCGAAGGCAGGACATTTTGAGCAGCGTTGGTCAAAGAACATTTCTGCAAAGGCTTCGAGCAGTCATGCAAAAACACAATGTGTGATGTTTGTAACAGCCATACATTGATGTTTCAGGTCTATCATCTTTGGAGCAGTTGGACTTGACCCGAGTTGAGCTGGCAACACTTCACGAAGATTCCTTTCGGGGCTTGGAGCAGCTGAAACTATTGGCGATGAGACACCTGTCAGCACCTGTCAGCACCTGTCAGCAGCTGAACAGTTTGAACAAACACTTTTAATTCTCTTTGACACAACAGTTTGACATTCAATCTGTGTCACCCATTGGCATCGACCAAGGCGACAACCAGCTCACCGAGCTCTCGGCTGCGATGCTGCAACATTTGCCGCTGTTGGAGCAGCTTCTCTTGGGCGGCAAGCGGGACAGGCAAAACAGAGTTATCGTGAAAGGCAATCGCATCGAGGAGCTCGGGGCCATCTTCGGACACAACGAACAGCTGCAGGTGATCGACTTCAGCGGCAACAAGCTCCAGAAGATTGACCCAGCTACCTTTGCAGGACCAAAGAAGCTCCGATGGCTGAGTTTGAAATCAAACCAGTTGACGACACTTTCTGCGGGGGCATTCCAAGGACTTGGCCAACTGCAGAAACTCGATCTGACGTACAACCGGTTGACGACACTTCCTGCAGGGACGTTCCAAGACCTTGGTCAACTGCAGAAACTCGATCTGGGCCTCAACCAGTTGACGACAATTCCTGCGGGGACATTCCAAGGCCTTGATAAACTCCAGGAACTCGATCTGGGCATCAACCAGTTGACGACAATTCCTGCGGGGGCATTCCAAGGCCTTGGTCAACTCCAGACACTCTGGCTGTCTGGCAACCAGTTGACCAGAATTCCTGCGGGGGCATTCCAAGGCCTTGGTCAACTGCAGGAACTCTATCTGTACCGCAACAAGTTGACCACAATCCCTGCGGGGACATTCCAAGGCCTTGATCAACTCCTCTGGCTCTGGCTGGATGACAACCCTTGGAATTCTTCGAGCGTCTGCATCAATTCTTCCTCGTTTCCGCTGCTGTATGAATTGTCGGGCGTAAGCTTTTGCTAAAATGTTTAGGGACGGAGCGCTTGGAGTGCATCTGGCCCTTTTGCAACCACAGTTTTGGAAGCGCCACAGCAAGCGCAGAAAAAAGCTTCACGTATTTTACATCAAAACCTATCCACCTCGGTCAGCCAGCCTTGATCAAGGACACGCACACATTGTTTCTCGCCAACGTTGGGGCTCTCAGAGCCGGGGACCTTCAGCCCTATGAAATCTTCGTCACCCCACGTTGCAACGCACATGATCCTCAACATATTTGAGGTCTAGGCATGCCGGGTTGAGGCAATACTCACATCCAGCTAGCACTTGGTACTGGAAGTCCCGACTTACTTGAGTAGCTCAATGTCAGATTGTGCACATGAGTATAGAAAAACAATCCCTCCAGCCACCATGGCGCACACTATGCGATCCCATAATATTCCATATGGATTTTAATGATTTTAGGTCTGACATACCAAAGGCTCCGCTTTTTCACGGAAGCAAGCTGTGCACATGGTTGATATGCTTCCTTGCATTCCAACCGAGAAGTTGCACAGGCACATGCGCACAATACTTGATGCATAGTCAAGTAGTTGAAACTCAGAATAGAATGAATAGAAGTATGATTGTTCAAAGATTCCATGTTTGGAAACTCGCATCCTGGTGGCGGATTGCCCCTCCGTCAGTTGTGTTTAGTTTGCTTGTTCTGCAGAATGACACATAATGTTATAGTCATCCCCCAAAAGATGTGAAAGGTTCAATTTGTCAGTAATACAAGTAATGATTATTTCACCCACTCATGTTTGCTTCTCTCCTTGCTTCAGATTATATTGCATTATTTCCTCTTATTATAAAGCTAATGTTTTCACACACTTCGTTTTACGTTTTTAACGGTTCTCGTTGTTTTGTCCCATTTGTTACAAAATCTATACACAAAGTAATATGGACCACCCAAACCAAGGACTTTTTTGACATGTTTCGTAGGTTGCACTTGTTTCAAATGCGATCAACTACGATATACTGCGATGGCCTTCCAAACACCTGGAATTTGGCACTCTAACCAAGACACGGGTGGAGACCTGAAGTTGGTGAAGGGAAAATTAAGAAGCAATCTGGACAGAACTCAAAAGTCAACACGTATTTTTCTGCTTCCTGAGCCTGGAACTCTTGTCTTTGGGCCCAACTTAAAGGAAGATCCATATGGGTCCCAAGCTGTTGGAAGTCATCCCTGCAGTGGTCTTGCCATCGCCAGGCCATGCAGGAAGTTAAAGGGAAACTGATGGTTTTTCTGCCCGGCATCGGAGGAAAATCTCCTGCAACTCTTTTTTTTAAAGCCGCTTGGACTCTGATCGTGGTTCACAAGCATTTGGCATGCACACTGCCTCACTGCTTCACTCATCCAGATCTCCAAGCAGTTCTTGAGATGAAGCTACGATGTGGTTCGCGCTTGGATAGCAGGTTTCACTCTCACTTTTTCGGAGGTTTCACGGCAAGGACCCTGAGACTCCCCGATTGGAGTGATTTGTTTGGTGATTTGTGATGCAGTGCAATGCGCTTCAAAACTCGCCTGGTAGGGTGCGGAGTGAAGGGTTTGGTTGGACTCAATTGAAACGAATCATATTTCTCGGTTTCGGTTTTTGTTGCCTTTCCTCGATGAGAGTATTGTGCTCACCGGACTCATAGATTGTACCACCTTGTTGGTTCCTGCGACTATTTTGCAGCGTGTCTTTGACACACCGCAATGGTTTCAGAGATCCATTCCAATCGCTTTTGAAACCGTCCCAAAGTAAAACCCACAACATCCCACAACACTTTTTACTTCTAAGTCTATGGCCTATGGAGATCCAAAAAACATCAAGCAACATGTTCGACCTCAGCAGACACAAGTGGTACTGCGTAGTTGACGAGTTTGAGTCTCAGCGCTGAGTGTTGGAGCAATTCAAAGGTCGTTGAAGTTGTGGATCTGTTTGGATGAAAAATACTTCAGATTCATAAGGTCACACAAAGCACCAAGAAACCCTACAGAGCCATCCAGATATTTTTGCTGCAAGCAATGACAACTGCCAAGGTTGGCATTGTTTTCAACTGCAGAGATTCAGAGTCTTACCAGCTGTGAGTGTTGATTGCATCACGAATCTAACGCGACAAAGGTACACTCCTTATGCCATGATCACGTCACAGTATTGCATTCAGCTGTTCAAGCTATGTCGGAAAGCCATGTTGTCGCCAACGAGACCTGACAGGCGGGAGATCTGGAGTCCTGGGGCCCTGGGGTGTGGGCAGGATTGTGGCACTGTGGAGGATTTTTCATGGCAGGTGGTTGAAGAACCACAGAAAAACTGACAGCAACCAGCTGGGTCTTCATTTTGTGAAGTGATTTGTTTCCCAGTCGGCTTTCAATTCAGTTTCCCACTCATCCCTCTGAGTAGATCAGATAAAATCAAATCAATACATGCGCGCGTTGTGATCTATGTTGACAAATTTCTTCACACCACAAAAGACTCGCAAGAGATTGGAAAATTGCAATGTTTTCACCAACATTGTGGGGAAACACCTTGGTCGGCTTCATCTTGCCACACCATGATATGCTTTGCCGGTCTCCCGCCAGGTTGGTCTGATACCACGTTGTATAAGAAAAAGGTGACCTTCTGCTATCTTCTGTAATTAAGGGCTAAAGGTGGATTTTTCTTACAGAAGGTAGCCCTTATGCAGACAAGACATGACAAAACTATGCGAAACTCATTTTTTGGTTTGATAGACTTCAACCTGCAAGCGCACCAAAGCTTTTTGGAACCGCAGAGCAGTCCTTCGATTTAAAGCTTCATCCGTGTGCTGTTTCGCCGAAACCATCCGCAAGGTGGACATGTGCGGTTCCTGCTTCAGTTCCATCCTGAGTCGCTTAGGCAGCTGTGCAAATCCAGCAGATTCATCCAGATTCGCATCTGCACATGCCACGGCTGCGAGAGTGTTCTCGATACCTCTGATATCCGTCTGACTGCAGCGTTTTGATTTAATTCAAGGTGTTCAGCTGCTTAGTTTTCCGATTGCTCGATTTCCTTGGAATTTTTGCAATGGCCACAGCTGCCGTAACCCTCCCCGGTGGCGCCGGCGCATCGGGCGTGATCCCATGCCCACTGCCCGCGACGGTGGAAGATGCCATTTGCGCTGCGCAAAAGATGCAGCCAGGTGAGCCATTTCAAACGTCATGGGGGGTTTTCATCAGTCATGAAGGGGCTCATGCCATTGATTCTTAGATGTTATCAACCAGCTCGTGACAGTTTCCCAAACAGGCTTTTCTGACTGCTCAAGTGGGGATGTCCGAATCTCAGGTGGCTGGAAGAATGCCGTGCTTTCCCAGGGTGTCCAACGTTTAAAACCAGGCACTGCCCTGGAAGCTGCTGCGTTGCTTGGTTTCGAAGACGTATACTGCACTGCTGGACTGGTGACGTGTCGTGTCTTCGACAGCTACGCTACTCCTCCAGGTTGGGACATGGGAAACTGAGGTATACCTTGGTGAGCTACGATACCTTAGGCAGCCGTGCGATCAACGTCCCACAAACGGAATGCCGTGGTATCAACTTGAAGCAGCTGTCGCAGCTGGTGGATTTCATCCGTGACCATGCGCACCTCTGGGTGGAGACGTTCCTTGACATAAGTGGAGTTGGTTCTAGCTGGTCCTAGTTGTTGCTTTCAGGCATATCCACAGCTGCCAAGTTCATGTAGTTTTCTTTGTTTCAAGTTCAGCTTTCGCTCCGTACTGTAGCTTTGTCAAACCCCAGGTACTCTGGCAGCCCAAACTTTGAACAGCCGTTGGAGCTGCAGACCTTCAACCTCTACCACACATCTCATTGGGTCATAAAGCCAGCCACCCTGCGGTACAGGTGCAGCTTCGTGGAGCTCGTTGCCAAAGACGCAGAAACGCAGTTCCCGTGTTGGTTTGTGAGCCATGCGTGGCAAGAAGCCGTGTGTCGCTTTGTTGCTTGCCTGCGCCAGCACGCGGAACTGCGGAATGCCGTGGGACTAGCATACTGGGTCTGTGCGTACGCAAATAATCAACACAAGCTGCAGGAGTGCTGTGCTCATGACATCTCATGGCTTTGGCAATTTAAAGTTTGGATTCAATCCCAAATCATGGTCACGAAAACTAGCGGTAGCTAGCTGAGTTACTCTTCCTTCAGCAAGGGGAGGGGCAGGTCTGAGTCCAACACAGTGATTTTTCACTTGAACCCCCCCTAAGCTCCCGGGGGATTTTGAAGCAGTCTCGGAAGCAGATGGTCACGGGCTCAAATCCTGCCAGGGCCGTCCCTCTGTAACTCTCTAGCTCATGATTTGTTGAGTTTATGTGCTGTCCAGTTGGTGCCAGCCGAAACGTGCCGCAGCTGCCCAACAACAAAAACAAGGTGGTGAAAAAAGAGATCTGGACAGGCATCCTATCTCATGAGACACAAACTTTATTGATAGAGTCACCATCTTCTTTGGTTCACATGTATTACGACTTGCAGCGGAAGATTACATGTTGTTCGGATGGAACTCTTGCGCAAGATACCTCACCAGAACATTAGGCTCGATAGAGTTCTTTCTGACTCAGGTCAACACTGTGTAGATTTGAGCCCCATCAAAAATTACAATTTTGGATGGGGCACAAACTTTATAGAGTCACCATCTTCGTTTGTTCAGATGTTTTACCACTTGCAACGGAAGATTGCACGTTGTTCGGATGGAACTCTTGCGCAAGATACCTCACCAGAACATTAGGCTCGATAGAGTTCTTTCTGACTCAGGTCAACACTGTGTAGACTTGAGCCGCATTAAAAATTACAATTTGGGTGGGGCCCAAACTTTATAGAGTCACCTTCTTCTTTGGTTCACATGTTTTACGACTGGCAACAGAAGATTACATGTTGTTCGGATGGAACTCTTGTGCACGATGCCTCACTAGAACCTTGGGCTCTAGAGTTCTGTCTGACTCAGGTCAACACTGTGTAGATTTGGGCCCCATCAAAAATTACAATTTTGGATGGGGCCCAAACTTTATAGAGTCACCATCTTCTTTGGTTCAGATTTTTACGACTTGCAACGGAAGATTACATGTTGTTCGGATGGAACTCTTGCGTAAGATGCCTCACCAGAACATTGAGCTCGATAGAGTTCTTTCTGACTCAGGTCAACACTGTGTAGATTTGAGCCCCATCGAAAATTACCATTTTTTGGTGGGGCCCAAACTTTACCATCCTCTTTGGTTCAGATGTTTTACGACTTGCGACGGAAGATTGCATGTTGTTCGGATGGAACTGTTGCGCAAGATGCTTCGCCAGAACATTAGGCTCGATAGAGTTCTTTCTCACTCCGGTCAGCACTGTGTAGATTTGAGCCCCATCGAAAATTGTAATTTTGGATGGGGCCCAAACTTTATAGAGTCACCATCTTCTTTGGTTCAGATTTTTACGACTTGCAACGGAAGATTGCATGTTGTTCGGATGGAACTCTTGCGCAAGATGCCTCACCAGAACACTATGCTCGCTAGAGTTCTTTCTGACTCAGGTCAACATTGTGTAGATTTGAGCCCCATCAAAAATTACAATTTTGGATGGGGCCCGAACTTTGTCGCTTACCAATCTTCTTTGGTTGAGACTTTCCAAGCTCGCCAGAGCTTCTAACAATTTTGGCAGTGGGCCCAATAGAATTCTTTGTGACTCGGATCAACAGTTGAGGATTTTAGCCCCATCAAAAATTACACTTCTGGATAAGGCCCCAGCTTTTTTCAGTAACCATGTTCTTTGCTTCACATGTTTTACGACTGAAAGCTGGACATTACACAATTCTTTGCAACCATCTTGACTCCTTCCCTGTGGTTGAGTATCGTCTGCACTTCCCTGCATGTTTCCAAGTTCCGCTCACCTATTTCCACATTCATATGACCTTTAGCTTTAGCTTTCGTTCACCTTGCCGGGGCCTCAAGTTTCGATGAAGATGTTTCTTTTCTATGTTCCCATTCCAAAATCCACTACCTATTGAATCCAATCTACTTTTTTGGGGGGGTTCCTG